CTTCCTAACAACATACATAAATCAATATGTACTTATTACATTCTAAGACTAAGACTAGATCAATTCTGGAAAATACACTTTTCCAAAGTAAGCACTTTGTTTTATGACAATGGACCAGTGACCTAAGCTTAGGGACCTTTCGCCTGTGCTGTAAAGTTGGGCTAGTGTTGAAAAAAGCATTCAAATATATTAACAGTTGAGGAGTGTTTAGAAAGTTGGGATCATTTAGGTATTTCAAATAAAACATGCTTAAGTTGAAGAGAGTGTTTTATTAAATTAAAATATTCATCCTTTAAGACATTTATTTACGCAAAATGTTTTATGACATTGAAAATGTTTGGAATTTTCTTAAAATTTAAGATTTAAAATTTTGTTTTTATATTTCAGTTTTTGACATAATAGACTTGGTTTCTGCTCAGTGTCTTGGTGGATGAGGCATGTCACAAACAATCTTCTTGTACCTGGTTTTCACCTGCTCTGGAGGATGACTGCCTCATTTCTTTGAGATGTCCCTAAGAACTCCAAAGCAAATTCTATATATACCACATAGTCTATATTTTAAGTCGGACACTCCCAAACATATCTTGTACGAATTTGGTCAAAATTCATCTGGTCTTTCATATTCAATAACAGATTAAATAGACATTTTATTTACATATTTTGGAATATGAATATTCATTGGGGAAACAACAAACTATGTCCTATTTGGAGCCAATTAATACAAGTAAAATGTGAGGAAAGATGGTATAGAAAATCAAAAAAAGGTCCTGGTGGGTGGGGATGCAGGGGAACAAAAAAGAATGAGGACTCTATACAGCCAAGGAGAGTATGAAATAAAGGCTAGAGTCTTCAAGCAGATGAATGCTTATTTAATGGGTGTAAGCAGCAGTTACTTCCATTAGGAATAAGCAAGAGCAAATAAGGCTTCAAGTGGGAAGGGAATTCTGAGAAATCTGCAGAAATTGGGCAGCTATAAATATTATTTTATGAGTAATAATGGTTTTAGCAAAGAAAATTTTAATTTTCTTCTGTAATAAATTTGTTTTCATTTGTCTTTAATTAAAACCAAAAAGAAGAGATGAGTTATTTTTCCATAATGGTATAAGTGTAATCTGGCATGAGATAGGATACCTTTTTGCGCTTTATGTGCCACGATTAGAATCCTAAGAAATGTCTGTGGAAACTGTTCCTAGGGATATTTTTTAATGAGTAGATGGCCTTAGTGTTTTATTATTTAAATATATTCCACCCTAGAAGTTACGGGCTTGCACATCAGTTTTTCTCACATCCTAACACGATTATCACATGAATGTGTAACATTGTACAGATTTTAACATGTACTCAATGTGAAGGTTATAGCAATGCAGTTTTTTATTTTGTTAATTGTATGCTATAAATAATTGATCTATTTGTATTTAGTTCATTGCATATGTTTAGCAAAATAAAGATAGCAATGACCTAAAGGTTTAACATAGCTATATAAAATCATGTTTTAGAATTTAATGAGTAATATGAGAAAATTATAATTATTTTAAAAATTAGATTATATATTGGTATTATATACAGCACAAATCTAATTTTGTTTAAAAACAGTTATGTATATACACACATATTCAGGAATTACTGAAAAGTGTTCATCTCTAGATAATAGTGATGTAAAATTCTTTTCCTTTGTGTTTTTCTATATTTTATAAATTCTATATTTTATAAATCGCAATGAACAATTTTACTTTTGCAATCAAAAACATAATAAACATGTTAGATGAAATATATCTACCTTGATCTGCTTTTTTTGTCATAGGTGAAATGGCATTTGAAGATCAGCCAAAGAGATTTTTTCAAGGCAAAACCAACGTGTTTTCTTCCGATACTACCGAACTGTCTGACATGAATGTGGGGTAGGTCTCTTGACATGAGGTTTTAAAAATGTATTGGCCACCATTTTTCATTTATTTTTTAAGTCTACTTTGGCCATTGTATATATTCAGAAGTATGGTATATTATTAAATATTTTGAGAAGTTATAAAAATAATATCCCAAATGGATACTATTAACTTTAGTTCTCTTCCCTAACATTTATGGGTAACATTTATATACGGCGGATACATTTTTAGAAGTGAGGTTTTGGCATTAGATTAAGAGGTATTAGAGAAATACATAAAAATGCAAGCTTGGTAAAAAAGTCATCTTCCCATCTTTTCTACTTTGGATTTTTGTGTGCTTTGTTAGGCTGAGCATGTTACTGAAAAGTGCCAAGAAAGCATGTTTTAACAATCAAAATGAGAAATATAGTGAATGGATTTTTATTTGTTGTTACTGTTGGTTTGTTTTACTGCTCTCGTGAAACTGTTCTTGTAACTAGTTGCTAATTCTTGGCTTCACATATTTTGTGTTCATTTGTAGACAAAGCAGAGTGCACAGAGATCTCGAGTTCTGTTATCAATAAGTGGCATTTTTTTTCTCCTAGTCTATTGTCTCTTTAGATGCTCTCGATGGAAACAACAGCAGTACAGGATCTCCTTATAATTCATTGGCTAAAATCAGCACTGTCACAAATTCTCCTGTGTCCCCCACTGATTCTGGTTCTCTGCTTATTATAGTAGATGAACCTTCAACTAAGTGATTTACCCATCCCAAGACTTTCTCACCAATGGAGAAACACACATGGGCTCATTTGCATGCTCACACTCTCTGTCTCTCTGTTTCTTTGTCTCTCTCTCTGTCTGTCTCTGTCTGTCTCTCTTTCTCACACACACACACATACACACACAAGTTGGAGCAGTAACAGAATTGTATGGTATAGTTTAGACTATTTCTTATTTATCTTGTTTTCCTAAAATTCTGTTCATATATAGAACTTGCATGTCTAATTTCTTTGTATGCCTTTAAAATTAATGTAGTAACATTTTCAAAGATGTTTGCCAAATAAGAACTATGTTGATGATACAATCATATATCTTCAAGCTGCTAATATATAGAAACATGCTGCACCTTGAATTTAAAAAAGTCAATTGAAATTTCCATTTATTTATGTGAATAAATAAGTAAATAAAATTCATAGGTTCTGATGGAATATAATTGTTCCATTAATTAACAGATAAAATGATTTTTGAAGATTATATACTGAATGACTATGCTAGTTTTTAATGACTTTTTCAGTAATTGTTAGTTTCTACTTGGTAAGGAAAAATCACCTATCCAAAGCAGTTTTTAAAACTAAGCTAAGTTATACCATACTGATCCAAGGATTGCCTATTTTACATGAGTCCTTGGATGTTTAATTTGTTGGGAAAAAAATAGGCAGGGGAAGCAAGATAAATAAAAGCTAATTGAATAGCAAGAAAATAATATGTAATAGAGACTTCACCCAATTTGTTAACCTGATTATCCCTGATCAATTTTGTATTCTAATTAAGTGAGGAAAAATGATATTGATAAATTTTGATCTTTTACATTGCTATGAGTTACCTTTTATGATCATGACTACTGATTTGATTAAACATCAAATCAATATGTTAGGGCTTTTCTACAAGAATTATGTACTTCCAATCGTTTCCTAAGGGCTATAAATGTTTGTTTAAACCCATTTTTTGTTTGAGAGTCTTAAGGTTTTTTTTTTTATAGGAAAAATCATGTGTTGAAAAATTTTAATCTAAAGTAAGTGCTTTAAGTAATTGAGGGTAGTATTAGCATTTTGAAAAATACAAATCTTTCCTCATGAAAAAAAGTTGATATTTGGTTTGAATTTCCTCACTTAATGAAATAAGGATGGTTATTTAAAATATATAAAAAGTTTTTCCTTGTCATTAGAAATAATCATCATGATGGAAATCTGATGTACATATGCCCCACATGGGGAAAAGTCTGTGGTGCCAGAATTTTTTGACAATGGCCCTGATGGAATATCGAAATGG